AGAACGAACACTCCTCAATACAATCATAGCAATTTTGAAAAACCCACGGCCAGCATCCTATTGAATGGGGGAAAGTTGGAAGCATTTCCACTGACATCTAGTAACAGAAAGGGATGCCCACTCTCACCACTGCTATTCAACATAGTACTGGAAGTATTAGAAAGAGCCATTAGGCTCTTTTTCAGTTAACTGAAAAGTGATCTTTGTTAAATATAAGAGTGGGAATAAGAGAGTGAGGAAATGTACAATTTGGGACATGCTCAATCGGAATTGCCCCAAACAGTGGAGTTAGAAATGCACCAGGGGATTCCAATACATTCCCATCAAGATTGCATGTACCAGTGCCATCTCACTAGTCCAAGTGATCAATTTCAGTTCACAATTGATCACACTGATAGGTCTAAGAGTCAAAGGGATCACACAAACAAGACTAGAGTCTTCGAATACTAACTGATAGAATAAAAAAGGGAGAGAACGATTCAACATGGGAAGTGGGATACACAGCAGACTCATAGAATGGCAGATGTCCTAAATAGCACTCTGGCCTCAGAATCAGCCCTTAAGGCATTCGGATCTGGCTGAAGAGCCCATGAGAGTATTTTAGGCATGGAAAGCCAAGACACTCTGGCAAAACAAACAAACAAACAAAAATAAACCGACCATCTAAATGAAAGATCTCTGCGAGTGAGATCCCAGCAGAAAGAACGGGCCATCAAATAAGGAGGTACATTTCTCTGAAGGGAGGAGAGAACTTCCACTTTGACTATGACCTTGCCTAAATAAGATCGAAGTCAGCGAACTCAAGAGGCTTCCATAGCCTTGGCAACTCATGACTAGAGCCTAGGGAGATTACTGACGCCATAAACAAGAGTGTCAAATTGTTAAGTCAACAACAGGAGTCACTGTGTACTTACTCCTCATGTGGGATCTCTGTCCTTAATGGGTTGTCCAATGTGAATTAATGCTGTAACTAGTACTGAAACAGTATTTTACACTTTATGTTCTGTGTGGGTGCAAACTGCTGAAATCTTTACTTAATATATAATAATTGATCTTCTGTATATAAAGATAATTGAAAATGAATCTTGATGTGAATGGAATGGGAGAGGGAGTGGGAGATGGGAGGGGTGTGGGTGGGAAGGAAGTTATGGGGGGGGGAATCCATTGTAATCCATAAACTGTACTTTGGAAAATTTTATTTACTAAATAAAAGTTTAAAAAAAAAAGAAAATATAGAGGGCCGGCGCCGTGGCTCACTAGGCTAATCCTCCGCCTAGCGGTGCCGGCACACCGGCTTCTAGTCCTGGTTGGGGTGCCGGATTCTGTCCCGGTTGCCCCTCTTCCAGGCCAGCCCTCTGCTGTGGCCAGGGAGTGCAGTGGAGGATGGCCCAGGTCCTTGGGCCCTGCACCCCATGGGAGACCAGGAAAAGCACCTGGCTCCTGGCTCCTGCCATCGGATCAGCGCAGTGCGCCGGCCGCGGCGGCCATTGCAGGGTGAACCAACGGCAAAGGAAGACCTTTCTCTCTGTCTCTCTCTCTCACTGTCCACTCTGCCTGTCAAAAAAAAAAAATATATATATATATATATATATATAGAAACACATGGGAATTGAATAGCATCCTCCTCAATGAACAGTGGGTCACAGAAGAAAGCAAAAAGAATTCCTTTAAACAAATGAAAATACATCATATCATAACTAATGGGATACAGCAAAAGCAGTGATAAGAGGAAAGTTTACAGTGATAAATCCCTACATTCAAAAAGTGGAAGGATATCAAATAATCTAGCAATGCATCTCAAAAAACAAGAATAAACCAAATTCAAAATAATAATAAGGAAAGAAATAATAAAAATTAGAGAAGAGATTAACAAAATAAAAATCAAAAACTAAAGTTCAGTGAAATGAAGAGCTAGTTTTGTGAAAAAAATCAAAATTGATAAACCATTAGCTCAACTAAATAAAAAAGACTGAAATTACTAAAATCAGAGCTGAAAAAGGAGATGTCACAGCTAATACCATGGAGGAACAAAGAATCCTAACATATTATTGCCATTAACTATATGCCAACACATTGGAAAATCTAGAAAAAAATGGCTAGATCTCTAGACACATATAATTTACCAAAATTGAAACATGAAGACATAAAAAACCCGAATAGACCAGTAACCAACACTGATATTGAATCAGTATTATAAAGAAGCTCCCACCACACTTTTAATGAAGAAATAATACCAGTTCATTTAAAAATGATTTATTTTATTTATTTCAAAGGCAGAGTGACAGAGAGAGAAGGGATAGAGGGAGAGAGGGAGAGAGAGAGAGAGAGGGAGGGAGAGAGATTGATTTTCCATTTGCCATTTAATCCCCTAGATGCCTGCAACAGCCAGGGATGGGAAAAGCCAAAGACAGGAACCAGGTACTTCATCTATGTCTCCCATGTGGGTGCCAGGGTCCCAAACACTTGGGACATCTTGCTCTGCTTTTCCCAGGCCACAGCAGAGAGCTGGATTGGAATTGGAGTAGACAGGACACCACATACATATGGGATGCTGCTGTCACAGACAGCAGTTTAACCCACTATGTCATAACACTAGCTCCACAAATTTTTAAACTATTCGAAACAACTGAAAGAGAAGGAACTCTTCCAACTCAAGATTGAGGCCAGCTATGGTCTTAACTGTAAAACTAGAGAGAGATACAACAACAAGAGAGAACTATAGACCAATATCCATGATGAACATAGATGTCAAAATCCTCAAGAAAATACTAGTGAACTGAATCCAGTGACACATCACAATGATAATCCACCCAGAACCAAGTGGGACTTAACACTGGGATGCAGCATGGTTCAACACAAGGAAATCATTAAACGTGATACATCACATCAAGCAAATGAAAGGAGGCCTGGAGCCATGGCACAGTGGATAAAGCCACCACCGCCAGCTCCCATATGGTTGATGGTTCAAGTCCCAGCTGCTCCACTTCTTATCTAGCTCCCTATTAACATGCCTGGGGAAGCAGTGGAAGATGGCCCAAATACTCGGGCCCCTGCACCCACATGGGAGATTGAGAAGGAGCTCCGGGCTCCTGGCTTAAATCGGCCCAGCTCTGGCCATTGTGGCCATTTGGGGAGTGAACCAGTAGGTGAAAGATCTGTCTCTCTAACACTGCCTTTCAAATAAATAAATAAATCTTAAAAAAAGAAAAAAAATGAAGAATAAAAATCATATGATTATCTCTATAGATAAAGAGAAAGCATTTGATAAAATACAACATCTTTTCATGACAAAAACTTTAAAAAACTGAATATAGAGAGAGCACAACTCAATACAATGAAGGCAATGTATGACAAACCCACAGCCGACATCATGTTGAACACAGAAAAGGAAAAGCATTTCTAAAGATCTGGAACCAGATGCCCACTCACACCACTGTTATTCAATATAGCTCTGAAAAATTTAGCCAGAGTCATTAGGCAAGAAAAAAAAATCAAAGGGATACAAATTGAAAAACAAGAAGCCAAATTCTCCTTGTTTGCAGATGACACAACTCTTTAGATAAGGGACTCCACCAAGAGACTATTAGAACTCATAAGAGAATTCAACAAAGTCATAGGATAGAAAACCAACACACAAAAATCAATCCTTATACATTAACAATAGTCTGAATGAGTAAGAACTTAGAAAATCAACCCCATTCACACAGCAACAAAAACAACTGAAATAACTTGGGATAAATTTAACCAAGGAGGTAAAATATCTCCACAATGAAAATTATAAAATATGTAAGAAAGAAATAGAGGAATGCAAAAAAAAATGGAAAAATCTTCCATGTTTGAGGACTGGAAGAATTAATATCATCAAAATGTCCATACTACTGAAAGCAATTTACAGATTCAATGCAATCCCAATCAAAACACCAATGACATTCTTCTCAGATCTAGAAAAAATGATACTATAATTCATATGGAAGCACAAAAGACTCAGAATAGCTAAAGCAATCCTATACAACAAAAAGAAAGCCAGAAGCATCACAATATCAGATTTAAAGAAATATATAGGGCAGTTATAATCAAAACAGCCTGGTACTGAAAAATGTACATGTACTCCAACACCCGGGGCTGGGCCAGGCCAAAGCCAGGGACCACCAGGAGCTTATTTTGGGTCTCCCAAATGGCTGCAGTGACCCAAACTCTAGGGTCACCTTCTGCTCCTTTTCCCAGGCACATTAGCAGGGAACTCTCAGAAATGTAGTAGCCAGGTCTTGAACTGTCATCCAGGTGGATGCTGACATTGAGGGCAGTGTCCTAACCCATTATACCACCATTTATATTGTGCTGGCTTCACACAAGGTGATGAACATTTTCCCTTACTTCAGGATTCTACAAAGTTTAAAAATATTAAATGTTCAAATCATGTAAAATATAACAATGTAAAGAAAAATCATATGTTCCACCATTTTAAAATGGGACTTCACAATGTAAAATGACCCTGATTTGATTCTTCAGTGGACCAGGCAGGACGGTCAAGAACAGCAAACAAGTCAACAGCCATGACCCGTCCATCAGTGCTCCGCACACTGCCTCACTTTCCCTCACTACGACGTTTTCCCACTCTGTGTCAAAACAGCGGCTACCATGACCAGTTCCTGTAGTGACCTCAGGCACAGTGCATATGAGAAACCACAGGGTGTAGGCAACATTTTGCTTCCACATTTCAGTACAGACTGTGTCAAAGAAGCCTGATGCTTGAACATTTTACCTTCATGGTAACTTCATTATTCTTTTTTTAACAAATTCACATCTTAGAATAAATGTAAAATACTAGGATAGTTACATTTTCCTCTAAGGAATTCCTAAAAAATGTACAACCAGGTATCACTGTGCTTGGTTTATAAAGGAAATGTAAATGGAAAGAAATACACCTTAAGAGACTTTACAGGGGTTAAAGGTTTTCAGCCCACGTGAGTAGTAAGGAAGGCACGTAGAGGGGCACTCACATTAGCACAGTGTAAGGCGAGAGCGCAGAAGACAGCAAACATTTTGAAGTTGTTCTCATCCGTCTTTGAGAAGGCACTGCCGCTGATTTTGTTCACCATCTGCACCACGCCTATCACGCTCCCGCGGCTCACGATGGGCATACACAGGATGTTCCGAGTGGTGTAGCCTGTGTACAAGTCCACTTCTCTGTGGGAAGGTCACAGAACGACAATAAGCAAAGACAAAACAGAAAAACAGGCAGAAGACACTAACGGCGTATTCAATCAGACCTCAACTCGGCTGCTGCAACAGTGATTTTAACGGCACTGTGAACTTCTGAAGTCAGGGGCAAGGGAACATCCAGAAGTATCTCTCTTTTTTTTTTTTCATATAAAATATTTCAGATATACAGGAAAGTTCAGACAAGAGTTTAATGGGCACATGCAGACTTAACAATTTTTCATGGTTTTCCAAATCTGCCTCATACATAAACATTATTGATACATACAACTTATTTTGAAAGCAGGGATGGTAGTAAAACAAAGTGTGGCTTCCGTATTTTGCATACCATGTGTCATACATGGATCTATAAATGTTGTCTTCAGTGCACCATACTGTGTACATAATAACACTCCCTTCTTTCCTCATTTTATGATATTTGCCATGAATTCCATGCTATGTGATATTAATATATCCATCCCAGAATGTGTTTTCTTAAACCGATTAAAATCTTTTCTTGAAACCATTCTTTCATGTGGATTTTTCTAGGACAGTCTTGCGGAGACGTCCACCTTATCCACAGGGCATATTCAGTATTGCTAAGTACACAAAATATAAGTCAATGTGGCAAAAGGACCTGTTCCTTTGAACCTGACCAGGTTTATAAGAGATGCAATTTTCTGAACTACTGAAGTGGGGTTTTCACTGTTAAAGCTGTGAAGCCAGGCTGAGCACACTACTGCCCACTGCTGTTTTGACATAACACAGCCACACCTCTTCTTCAGGGGCTGCCCGTGTCAGCTGGCGTGCTCTCGGCTGAGGTCTGGGAGAAAAGACCTTATGGCTGGAATGCCAAAAACACCTATTACCTCACACTGAACGGAAAAGGTTCATAGACTCCTGATTTGAGGAAAAACACTTTTTTTTTAATTATTAAGAAAAGAGAGGGAGAAAAAGTGAGAAAGACAAGAATTCCCACTACCTGGTTCACTCTCCAAATGCCCACAATGGCCAGGACAGGATCTGGCCACAGCCAAGAACTGGGAACTCAATCTGGGTCTCCCATATGGGTGGCAAGGACCCAAGTACTTGAGCCCTCACTGCTACCTCTCAGGGTTTGCGACCACAGGAAGCTGAAGTCAGGAGCCGCAGCAGGGACTCGAACCCAGCTACTCCAATGTGAGATATAGGTGTCTTAATCATGAGGCTGAATCCCACTTTGTAAACGCTTTGTGAAACAGACTGAGTGCCACCAAGGCAAACTGTGCCTGAAGGTCGTCAGTTACACACTGGTCTTCAGGGTGTGGCTTTGCTCAGCTGGAATGATGTTTCAGGATTCAGCCATGTTGTTAACATATTGTCAGAGGTTCCATCCTTTTTAGTGCAGAGTGCTACTCTCTACTGAATGGGTACCTCACGAATTATTTATCCATCCACCAGTTAATGGACGATAATATTTGTTAACAGCCAGTTACTGGCAATTATGAATACTGCTGCTTTAAAGATTTGCATCCAAGTTTTTGTGTGGACACATGCTTTTATTTTTCTTGGAATAATATCTAGGAATGAAGCTAATGGATGAGTTACACAGTAAGTGTGCATGTAACTTCAGGAAACGTCACACCTGTCTTCTCAAGTTGTTGCAAGCATCACACATTCCCACCAGCAAAGCAGAAGGGTCCCAGTCCCCCACATCCTTACCAATCCTGGGTAATTCTCATCTTTTAAAACTTCAGGCATTCAGATAGGTGAGTGGTAGCATCTCACTGTAAATGCAATGTACATCCCCCTCACTTTGCACATATTACCTTGTGTTTAATGGTCACTTGTATATCTTCATATCTGTTAAGATCTGCTTTTTTATTTAACTGAGGTGTCTTATTATATTAGAAGAATTTCTTATATATCCTGGGTACATATTTTTAATGTATGCTTAGAAGATTTTTTCACCAATCTTTTGCTTCCCTTTTTATTTTCTTAACAGTCTAACTCATAAATTTTATGTACAGATTTTATTTTCCATACCTTAGCAGTGAAATTGCACCTTATTTTCATTTTATCCATTTGCATTTTATTGGTAAAATAATTTACTAGAATATGGTTCTGTTTTGATGAGTTGTGTATATTTACATTCATTGCATGAGAATGCATGAGAGTTCGTCCTATCACCTATGTTATATATTAAAGTCAACCAAATAGTTGAATTAACATTGTTGTCAAAATATCTGAATATTATAATCTAATAGTCATACAGCATTAATCTTGTGATTGTCAATTTCTAGAGACTTATGAAAACCAGATTATATAATTTGCTCTCCAGTTACCCAAACAAAATTAAAAATAAAACAAACAAAATATTTATAAGCCTTCCTAATATACAACTTGAATAATACCCAATAAATGTGTGACTTACTGGGTTCTTCCTGTCTGTAATGCAAACTTTTCAGAGCTTTTAGGAATATTATCTGTAATGTTAAAAAATAATCTGCAGAATTGGCATTCCCATACACATTTCAAATGAGAAACTGATTCTCAGAGAAATTAATTTATGCTAGCGCACTGCACAGATAAAGGAAGGCAGCACCGTGATTCAAATCTAGACAGAACAACGTCAAAGTCACATGTGTGTGCAGCAGCCTCCGTGATGCTCGGGTGGACAACCTGCCCGTGAAAATGACTGCAGTGAAAGGATGTAGCAGCTTTGCAAGGTGACACTTCTGCCCTTTATTTGCTTTCGCAACAACTGAAACACCTATGCGGGATACCATTACATACTAATGACTTAGCTGATCACAGAGTCGGTTGAAAGAAGGAAGGAAATTTAAGAGGGAAGAACGTGAGAACTGGGGCTCCTTGGAGGAGGTGTGGGCAGGTGGGAGACCCGAGGGGCCAGTGCTGGAGGACACAGCCGTCTCTCACCTGTTGAAGCGTGGATCTGCATAGGCATCCGGAATGTTCAGGACTTCCCCGGTTCTTGCTACTTGACCAGCAATTCCCTTCTCAATTGAAAATCTGCACATATTAAAGAGAGGGGCAGGCTAATTAAAATATAGATGTTGCAAAAAGTTTTGAAACACTTCATTGCTACCAAATGTTTAATTAAAAAGCATTGTTGTGTTTTAAATACAAGCATTAACCTTATATTTACATATCCTAAATCAATTTATTAGAAAATATGTAAAAATAAAGCATAAAAAACATTACATAGCAATTGCTTGAGAACCTTGTTTTAAGATATAATCCAAAATCTATTAAATTAAATCTGGAATACAAGTTGAAATTTAAAATTAACCAGCATTATCCTGTACTGACCAGTGATAATCCATTACATTTGCAAAGTACATTTTAATTTAGGAAATGCCTCCACAGATAATTTTAGTGGATTCTCAATGAAGTGAAAACCAGGGCCTATGTGTGCTCAAAACTTACCAACATCCCTAAAATGTAAGTAGCACAATAAAAACCAGAACACAGGTACATACCTGTGAGATCTTCACCACACATAACCAAACTCACAGGTTATACCTGAACCTTGATATGCCACATAGGCCTTAAAGTTTACTGCATTTGCAATACTTTTAGTATTTTTATATCTTTAATTTATTAATTTTAAAACAATCAAAATATGAGCATTATCTGATTATTTTTACTTATGTTTTTGTTATCCATTGTCAGTATTTTTGTTGTAAATACATTATCATATTTACAAATTGTTTTTCCTTATTGTCATACATGCACCCATCTCCATAATTTAATCAGCCACATCAAGTTTTCAAAAGTTTGAAATAATTCAAATCACACTAATTTTTTTACTTTATAAGAAATAATCATAATTGAAATAAAGCACCACCCTAGAGATTATCATGAACATTCTAAAGAGAACGGACACAAGAGAACCAACTTAACACACCAAAGAGTGACTCAAACATTGCATAAAAGTCAAACTTGTCTTTTTCCTGGTTTCCTGTGGTGCTCTGAATAACATGAACACAATGAACTAGAGTGACATGAGCCAAGAGTATCAAAATCTATTTCTTGATTTATGCTTGTTTGTCTTGGTCTGAGAGCAGTCGGAACTGTAACTTCTATTCAAACTCTGTAGTTTGCCAGCAAGGCTCACTAGCAACCCATTATTAAGAAGTGCACCCTTACATAACTGGCTGACATTGACTGGTGTCAGAAGGACAGGAAGCTACAGTCTCTTGTTGCTTCTATTCTTGTATACACAAATTATACCAGTATTGGAGGTGCCAAGGAACACTCAAACCTCCAGGCTTCAGCAAGAGAATGCTTTAACAAAGTGACTATATCCAGTTGATGTGCTCAGATTTTAAAAAACAAAATATTTGTAAAAACCCTCAAACATGTATATAGTACCTAGATTTCAGAGTTGGGTGAGCACGGAATATAGGCTTTGCCACCCAAGGAAAGAGAACTGGAAGTGCCCCCGGTGCATCGCACTTTCAAGTTCCCATGGCATTAATTCCTTATATGAGAGACAGCCCAAGTGAATGACAATTCTTAATTTATAAGGAACAATGTATTACTAGCATGCTATAATTACCAGAGAACACTACAGGATTACATTGAAAAGCAAATAAAATGCAGAAAGCAAAAGGAATTCAAATGTTTAAAAAAAATTAACTTTTGAATGTTAAGCTTGATTCTTAGAAGTTCTGGGACAGTGCTCCTTGTAGATATCCAGACTGTGATACAATTCAGCCACCATGCCCGCCTCCACTGACAAAATAATTTCCACTCTGCTCATTTAAGTGACGACAGCTGCCAATTAAATACCAAGGGAGGCTTCAGTCTCCAGATGCAACAGGACTGTGCTACAGGATCAGGTAAACTGACTGCTCAGCTGTAGCGTGCGTGTCATCCAGCATACCTGATCCAGCTCCTTTATTGCCTGGACGGCCTGACAGCCCCACAGGCTGGGAAGGGATGGGGGCCAAACTGTTTGACTACCCTCTTGCTCCAAATCGTGAGAAAGCCTACAGACTCCAGGTGGAGTGTACCTTGACCTACCTGGGAGCACTAGCAAGTTTTTCCAACAAGATTTCCAAAAGGACCGCCTCCGGAAGACGGCATTTCCAGGATTGACGCTAAAGCTTCAGGGCGCGGTTTCGCTGGCACTGCAATGTCATTCCCAGAAGTACTACCTTCAGGAGGCGGGTCCTGGTGGGAATGATACCACAGTATGACAAGTATTGTCAGCATACCTGTGAATAGGCACAGGAAAGCGGGTAACAGAACACCTGCACTTCTGCACTCAGAGCAGAGGATGCTCTAGGACGCGCCACTCGTGATTATACCTGATCTCTTTGGTCTTCTTGAAGACAGGCTTTCCTTCCTTCTCCTCTCCAATATCAAAAAGGTCTGAATATAACTCCTTGTTCTTATGGTCTACCTGGAAAAGTGCGCAACGATCGGCATTCACCAGGTTTTTTGCATATATCTAAAGACAAATGACAAAGGGAAAGTCAGGCAGAGAGAAAAGACTGTGAGGGGAAACTTTATTATGAAAAACACATTGATGTCAGCTCAGCGGTGCTATACTCTAACTGTGGGGTACTGACACAGTAAACACATTGTATCCAGAAGTCACTGTTCTGAGCTCATGCCAGCAGATGCCAACAAGAACAAACCTGACAGCCACACTGCTGGTCAGCAGTAATGGCCTAACTTGCCAAGCGCCCTACTGCAGCTGAGACCCTCTCCTACACCCGCTCAAGCCTCTCCCGGTGCTTGGTCTGAGCCTCTGTCAGCACAGGTCAGAGTCTTTTCTGACTGGTTGGTGTCTGTGCCACAAACTGAAGACACCCAGCTTTCACACTGGCATCGGCTCAATTTTATTTTCAGTACTCTCTGTTTACTACTGAGTGTTTACCATGCATCACATCTTTATGTACTTTTTGTGCATTAATTTAACTTACACAATAACAATATTAAGCCAGGGAAAATTTTTATCCCAGTTTTACGTCTTAGGAAAATTCAGGCACTGAGAGGTAATGTGTCCTACTTTTACATGGCTAGTAAATGGTGGATTTAGCATTTGAACACATACCAGCAATTTCCTTGGCCAATGCTTTTACATTTCCAAATATAAAACTGTACGTTCATTTCATCATTTGTCTATTTCCTTCAACAAACATTTCTTTAATGCCTAACATCTCCCGCTGCCTGAGCTGAGGCTACAATTATGCCATGAATACTATCATTACCTATATTGAGAATTCTATCAACCTCTACTGTACAGATCTAGCCATGAAATTATTCCTCAGAGATGTAGAATTCTAGAAAAACACCTTTCATAAAAATGCATGCAAAATGAACATGGCCCCCCTGGCAGCCAGAGGAAAATACAAAGTCCCATATAAAAATTCACTTACAGATCTAATAAAAAGAAATCAGAGTGGGTAGGTATGCTTCACCACCTTTGTAATACATGCTTGTGCCTACTTCCACTATAAAACTACACTCATCCACTCAGAAAATACTGGCTGTGCCTGCTCTGCAGGGCTGCACACTCGGAGGGGTATGAGCAGCAGAGCCCAGATGACTCTGGCCTCCAGGATCAGCCTGCGAGCTCTATGATACCATCAGCCGCTTCTCTTCCCCTCTTCATGTTCCAAAGGCCCGTGGCAGAGCCAGCCAACTACAACCCACATGCCAAGCCCAGTGCACTGGGTTTTTGTGAGCCAAGTTGCACCGGGGCACAGCCATGTTCATTTATTTCTGTGTTATCTATGGTGCTGCTACAGCACAGCTGAGCAGCTGCAAGACGGTGTGGGCCACAAAGCATAAACTTTACTATCTGTCCCGAAGCAAAGAAAACGCTGCTGACATCGGCTTAGAAAATGTAAAACCCCACCAAGAAGGAATACCCAGCTGCTCTATAAACTCATGAGACTGTGAATTACTCAAGAACAATAATGATCTGACATAATTAAAGATTAAGTTATGTTCCGTAAAATCTGGTAAGATTAAGACACAGATACGTTACAATCACTAGCATGCATTTAAGCAAGAAAACACATTTGAGGTTTATACAGGAGATGCAACATGCTTATTACTTGCTGATGTCACGGCATATATCAAAATCTGGAAACATCAGTTACAGATAGGTGGTTAAACAGGGTTATGCTTAAACATGATTAGCATGACATTTCTACCCCATGTAGGTTTCCAGTCTAATATAAACCTCAGATGCTGAAAAGGACTTTAAGAGACACCCAGCTATATAATAGTCATGAATTCTAAGCCATCAAAAAGTCATTGTAAAAGTGACCCACACATGTACAATTACTTGTAAGTGGAAGACAATTTTTAAATTTTTTGTTTTTCATTTGAAAGATGGGGGTGTAGGAGAAAGGTGGGGAGAGAGGGAGGGAGGGAGGGAATACGGATGTCCCAATGTCCCATCTATCTTTAACAGCCTGGTCTGGGGCAGGCCTTACCCAAGAGCCTGGAACTCAGTCTGATTCTCCCACATGGGTAGCAGGGACTCAGCCACCTGTTCCACACCCCAGCTCCCACTGTCTCCCAGAGTGCTCATTAGCAAGAAGCCATCATCACCACCTCCCAGGGTCAGCATCGATGGGAAGCTGGAGTCAGCGGCCAGAACCATGAGTTTATCCCAGGCACTCCAACGTAGGGCAAGGTCCTTCTTTGTTTCCTTCTCAAGGCTATTTTGTTAAAGATACTGATAACTAAAGAAAACAGTACCTTTCTCTGAAGGGAGGAGAGAATTTCCACTTTGACTATGACCTTGTATAAATAAGATCAGAGTTGGCGAACTCTAAAGGCTTCCACAGCCTTGGCAACTCATGACAAGAGCCTAGGGTGATTAATGACACCATAAACAAGAGTATCAATTGTTAAGCCAACAAGAGGAGTCACTGTGCACTTACTCCCCATGTAGGATCTCTGTCCTTAATGTGTTGTTCAATGTAAATTAATGCTATAACTAGTACTGAAACAGAATTTTACACTTTGTGTTTCTGTGTGGGTGCAAACTGTTGAAATCTTTACTTAATATATACTAAATTGATCTTCTGTATATAAAGATAATTGAAAATGAATCTTGATGTGAATGGAATGGGAGAGGGAGCGGGAGATGGGAGGGTTGCGGGTGGGAGGGAGGTTATGGGGGGAAAAAGCCATTGTAATACAAAAGCTGTACTTTGGAAATTTATATTTATTAAATGAAAGTTTAAAAAAATAAAAAATTTGAAACTCTTTAAAAACAGATATTGATAACTTCACATTACAGTTGTGTAACACTATATTCAACAGCATTTTCTAGTCAAATCGGAAAAAAATGCTTGCCCTGCCTTCTTAGAGCTGGTGGTGTGAGCACCTGACATAAAATAAATGAAAGCATTTTCTAAAGGAGAGAGTGCTGTGTGAGGTGTGGAATTATCACTGCATCACATCTGAGGGGAAACTTAGTAAAAATTCACAGGCTTTGAAATAAGACCTGGATTTCAGTTCTGGTTCCACTACTGAAAATATGTCTGAAACTCCGGAATTTCCTTACTTTTGCACTAAAACCTCAAGTTTCCTCTGTATAAAAGCTGTAAAACTACATACTGACTTATGAAGGCCCTATTTGTGTATTCACACACTTCAAAGTTATAAGAGTTCATGTATGAACAATTAATAATTCAGTATTGGGCTAATTTATTATTATTTGTAAATGTCAAACATCACAAAAACCATTAGTAAAGTTAACTGGATAGGAGCTGGCACTGTGGCACAGCAGGCAAAGCTGCTGCCTGAGACGCCTGCTTCCCACATGTGTATTGGTTCGAGTCCTGAGTGCTGCACTTCTGATCCAGCTCCCTGCTACTGTGTCTGGGAAGGCAGTGGCACCCATGAGGAAGACTCAAAAGAAGCTCCTGGCTTCAGACGGGCCTGGCTCCGGTCCAACTCCGGCCAGTGCAGCTGCTGGGAGTGATGCAGGAGATGGAAGATGTCTCTGTCTTACTCCGTGTCTCTCTATGTCTGTCTGCCTCTGCCCCCCCCCACCCCCGGAACTCGGCCTTTCAAATAAATTAATACATCTTTTTAAAAAGTTAACTGGATAGATTGCTATCAGGCACATCTTGACAACTGATGTTAGGGGCCTATGTTACATCTGAGAAACAAGAAGAAATATAATAGCTGAAGAGAATCAGCTTTTTTTCCCCCATTTATTAGGTTTTTAATTTTTTAAGTTTAGATTTGTCAATTTTAACATTCTCACAAATTCACTCTACACGCGCAGATATTATACACATCCACACATACATTATTTTTCTAGAACACAGAGATGTTACTATCACAAGGTATGAGACGCATGACAATGAGCACACGGTGGAGAAGGGTACTCTGTCATCTTACATGGTGTAACTCAGTGAAGCAGGTCTGCAACCATATACCAACTAATACGACAACCGCACACCTTCTGTGCTCTGTATTGCCTTTCTTTTTTATCTTACTTTCTTATTAAATAATTCATTCATTTATTTTAAATTTTATTTAAGGTATATAAATTATATATGTACAGATGCAGGAACATAGTGATTCTGTATTAACTTATACAAATAAGAGAAAACATGATATCTGTCTTTCTGGGTCTAGCTGATCCCTGGTTCCATCTATTTTGGTGCAAATGTTAGGATTTCATTCTTTAATGACTAATATCTCACCCCTTTTCTTACTCTGTTCATCAGCTGATGGACATCATGGCTGATTCCACAGCTGTGCTGCTATGAAATGGACAGCTTATGGACATGGGAGTACAGGTGTCCTTCCCACGTGACTTCACATCCTGTGGATGTGTTCCCAGAAGTGGGATAGCTGGGAACACATATAGAACAACACAGAACTATCGTTTTGTTTTTTTTTTAAATCTCCACCCTGTCTTCCACAATGATTGTACTAATTTGCAGTCCCACCAATAGTGTGTACACTTCCCCACAACTTTGCAAAAATTTGATTGTTTTTGGATTTCTGGATAACTGTCATTCTAACTAGAGTGACATGATACCACATAGTGGTTTTATCTGCATTTCCCTAATGGTAAGTGATCCTGAACATTTTTTCATGTGTCTATTAACCATTTGTAATTTTTCTTTGAAAAGAAAATCTATTCATATCCTTTTTATATTTCTTAATAGAATTATTTGTTTTGATGTTAAGTTTCTTGAGCTCCTTATATACTCCTAATATTAATCCTTTATCAGTTTCAGAGTTTGCAAATATTTTCTCCCATCTGTCAGGTGCTATTCACCTTGTTAAATGTTTCCTTTGTCATGCAGAAGCTTCTTAGCTTCTTAAAATCTGTCTATGTTGTTTTCATTGCCTGCACTTGTAGGGTCTTTTCCAGACTCTTTGCCTAGGCCAATGTTTTGCAGTTTTCTCCTTTTGTTTTCCCTAGTAGGTTTATAATTTCAAGTGCTAAGTTTAAAT